CTTTTTTAAGGTTTTCCTTACAGTCTCACCCTTTCTGGGCATCCCTTAAGTTTCCATGTACAGTTTTTCCCACTAAGTTTGCCAATCTAAAAGCGACGATGAAAATATTGATTATGCATTTTCACGTACTAGTGTTAAAACGATAAGTAAAATACAAATTTTAACAAATAAAAAAAATAATAAATATTTTTAACTCCAACCAAGTCCAACGTAAACTGCATTGCGACGTTTATTATAAATTAAAACATCCTTCCTGTCTGCATGACAAGCCAAGGACAACTAATAATACAGGGTTATCAAAAATGTATGAGACTTCAGTCTCGACTGTACAGAATATGTACTTTCTGTTTCCTTTTATTCATGATTGCCTGCAACCTTAAACTTTTTCCTTTCTGAGCCAAATTATTAAATATTCCAATTTAAGAAGAAATTCAACACAGAAGTCTCAATTAAAGTTGCAAGTCACATTTTTTTTGGCAACCCTGGAACACAGCTTTGCCTGGAGTTTTCACTATAAACTAAACCCACTACTATAAAGTCAACCCACTTAGAAATGTTTTAAGCAGTCCAAACTACTGGTTCTAATAAGTTTCCAAATCAATATTTGAGGCAAATTAGTCAATGGGTTCATCAGTTATGATCGGAAATAGAAAACAAACATACAAACAAACATACAGACAAACACCAAATCCTACTTTATAGAAATATAAAAACATAAATGCATAATGCATTTCAATCTCGAATGTTTAAAATCATATTATTATTTCGAAATCTGAAATATCAAACCTAAATGTGAATTAAACTATTAAATGTCGTTAGATGACATTTAAAAAATATTTAACAGAAATGTACAGTGTATACTGAGCCCAAAACTTAAGACAGAGCCCCAAATTTAAAAGATTATTGTTGAAGGAACTTCAGAGTTTCCTTTTTGGGTCTTAAAATTTGTGTGGATTTTAATCTAATCATTTAAAATTTGTGTCGATCTAATCATTTAAAAGATAAAAAAATGGAGATTATGAAGAAACTTAATAAAATAATAAAATAATCAAAATTTACAATGTTGTTCAATCTATAAATATGCCACATGAAGCGCTAGAAATAAAATTACGTTTGCATTGTTTACCTGTGTTCAGTCTGGTCTGACTTGGTGTAGAATCGACCCTGTAGAGAAAAACAACAAGTTTCATGTGGCAGTTTTAAAACTCCCATGAATGGATGATTTAAAAGAAATTTTGTTCCTAGTAGTGGGTGGTCAGTGAAACCAAACAAATCTATCTATCTATCTTTCTTTTTATTTCACCTATATATCTTTTAACTATCAATCTATCAATGTTGCATTTATACATATATAATTCTAAGCATGATCTATACAAAAATCATTAAATATCTATTAGTGAACTATGGCCTATTTATGCATGGTTACAATTATAAATAATGGATATCATAGAATTTAATCAGGGATATTTTCAGGTGTGGATTAATGACTGTTGTTGACTGTTTCGAGGGTTGAAGTTGAAGATTGATGATTAAAGCTCATCAGCTAAGATCAGGGAAAGTTCTTTAAAAGTATTATATATATATAAAGAGCATCATCCCATGACTTGAAAAATTTCACAATTGTGACAGGTCAGGCAGATCTAATCATGTAGAAGCTTTCTGAACAAATTGTGCAGCATGCTTACATCTTGAAGAATTGATTAAAACTGACTAAGATTTGACAAATGAGCGTGCTTTTTAGCGGGCCCTTGTTTTTTATCATCCTTTTTGATTTAATATCGGATGAAACAGTTTGTCTTTCATCCTCAACGCTCTTCAGACGGACTGATAAATTAGTTTTCATCTGACGATGGAATCTAACTCCACCAGCAAACAATTGCGGACTAAAAAAGACTGCTTTTAATCATCCGACAAAAAGACATTTGCGGATGAAAAAAGAGTTCTGATCACAGTAGAAAAAAGAGTTATGATCACAGTAGAAAAAAGAGTTCTGATCACAGTAGAAAAAAGAGTTCTGATCACAGTAGAAAAAAAGAAAAACTCAGATTTGACAGAAACCATCCTGTTCCAAGCAATCTGTGATGTTTGATCACAGTTTGACTTTTAAAAAAAAGGGTGAATAACAAGATATTGCATATAATAAAGCATTTTTGACAATTATGTATTAGTTTTTTGAATTCTTTTGATAGGCCTTGTCCTTTCAAAAAAATCCGCCAAACTGTTTCTTACTCAAAATTAGATAAGTATAAAAACAAACGTGCGGCAATATATTCTTTTTGTTTGTTTTTTTCCACTTGCATTTAATTTTGAAAAGAAAAAAAGTTTCGCAGATTTTTTAAATCGAGTCTATCAGATTGCCTTTCAAAAAAATCTTACATATTTGTCAAAAATGAGATTGCTAAAAAATGCTTTATTATATGCAAGATCTTTGCTATTCGCCAATTTTTGTACTCACCCTATACATTTTTCGATTTTCTCTTTTCGGCTGATTTTTCTCTTTTAGCCGTTGTTTCGGCGGATGAGTTTTCCTTGAAAAAGTATTAAAAAAAAAACTACTCGGCAAATTAAAGAATTTTGAGTAATGGACACGTGATTGAATTCAAATGAAGAAAACCATCGCAATTTTTGTGCAGTGGGTATCGAGATCAGTCATCAAGCAGTCAAGCTAAGCAATATCTCGTTAAAAAATTTCACTCTCTGACAAAAGAGAACATAGAACCAAAACTAACTCTGAACAAACAAACTTAATTTGTGACGTCACATATGAGTAAACATACCAAGGAAGTATTGTCTTTTTCACTAAAAACCTTACCTTGGAGATTAAAAACACTGGTTTAAAATTTATTCAACAATATTATTAATGACAGTAATAAAATATAAATATTCAAAGAGCAACATTGATCCAAGTACTACAGTGAGAACCAGAAAACTGTGGAATAGGATGAAGATATTTTAGCAAACTATTGTGTATTTGATGATGTTATAAAGTTATATACAGCCAATCTCACATATAAGAATACATAGCAAGAGCGCATAAAATGTCGTCTTGAAATTTATTAAAAAATGTATGACAGCTGTTATGCTTTATCATTGGTCTGCACAAAATGAAAGCTGCTGAGATGTTTGCAACTTTAAAAGGTTGAAAATGATTTTTGAAAATGTTTCCAAATATCAATTAGAGCCTTAAGTTTTTTTGGTAATTCTTAAGAAACTGCTTTTTTATTCAAGGTTTGTTAATAGCCCTGAAGTATGCAGGACAGCAATTAATATAGTCCACAATTGCTATGTGTCATGCTCAATTAGCTATTTAAAATCATAATTTGCGTCTATTCCACTGTTTTTTGGGATCCACTGCATAATTAGAGAAACAGTCGGAACAACAAAAGACGGAGCTTAAATTCCTAGGTTAAGTTTAGTTTAACTTTAAAAGTAGAACTTAAGTTCAGTCTGAGAGAATTCACAACATTCAGATAGTTATAATTGTTTCTAAAAGTGTATAGTTCAAGAAACCATTAATGGATTATTTTTTTCTTTTCCCAAGCCTAATATTTTTATTGAGAGAATTTTATTTGTAAACTATATTGTCCGTTTGTTTACTGCAGTGTACCGTTTAGTGTACACTAGTACATGCAGCAGGGGAAAATATGTTCTTCTTTAAAAAATCAACAAAATTGAGTCATTGTTCCACCCCCCAAAAATTGGTCAAAAGAATGATAAAGAGTTTAAAGTATATCATCCGGGAATTTACGTACAGGGTTTCATTTTAAGATTTTTTTCAAGATCAGTTTAAGTGTTAACAGATATTATGCAGATTAACTGTTCAAAAGGGGTGTTCAACGTGAGTTTAGGAACTGGTAAGCGTATCATCAACGATTAGCAACAGTGACCTGACTATGACGAAAATGTCGTTGCAGTTATTAATTTGCAAAAATACACGACTGGAATATAAATAGGGACTGTATACTAGTTTGAGTAAATCTCTATCTATGTTTAGTGGCATGGGAGATTCACAATGGTACTTGAATCTTTATTTCATCAAGTATGTATAATGTTTGTTTTCCACCAGAAGATTTCTTTTTATTTAATTCTAGTTTCTTGATTAAAGTTACCATACTCATCATGCCGCAGAGACAATTAAGAATTTTTTCAGAATCACGCCCCTCACATCACGTTGTTATTGAACTCTTAAAATTACACTTACAGTCCCTTTAAAGAAAAGATTGAATGTTGCGTTAACAAACTTATTTGTAAGTATTTGTTTTCATTTTCCCGCCAAAAGTTTGTAAATGGTTTACAATATATATAGAGTTAAAATCTTAGAGAAATAGTTTAAAATGCAATAAAATGTAACAATATAGATGATATACACACATATAGAATATAGATAGGATCTTATATAATACATTGACAAGGAAAGTTGGATTAAAGGAACTGTCTCCGTAATTCCTAGTGACCATCCATGTAAAAAGGAGCATGTCCTCTTCATAACTTTTGACTGAGCAACAATGATGTAATTTTGCACTTGAAAGATATAGGGGTAGGCGATAATATCAATACAACGAAGACGACTTTCGATTAAAATTTTGATTTATATCAACCTGTTAAACAGTATGGATACATATTAACATAGAAGTCAATTGAAAAGCTGTCAATTACTTGTGGACTTTAAATTCGAGAAAAGCTTATTTACAATCAAAACTTATTGTATTGATATAATTGCCTACCGCTGTAGAGAAAGAACAGTTATTGGTGTATACCCCATTGCTGCTCAGATTATAATTTTGTGGGTATTGTTGTCAATTGGGCATGATAAAACTCTTTAAATGATCGGGGTCAATAAAAATCATGTGAACAGTCCCTTTATGTGGGGGTTTGTTTACATGCGCCAGCATGAAACATATTAAATTAAATTAAGTTCCATTTTGATATGTTTAATCTTACAGGTAAAGAATAATATTACGAAGGTTAAGATAAAACGTTTTGATCTAAATTGGTCCAACAAGTTTGGAATTAATACTTTTGTTATGGTTACACTGTTTTATTCCATTCTCATTAGAGAAAGTCTTGATAAATTCCATTGATTGATAAATTGATTGATTGATTGACGGAATAATAATTACTGATTAGACGGATAAGACAATGTTTGACAAGTTGACTTGAAATCCCCTAAAGTTTGTCCGATTGAATCCTGGATTTTGCGGAAGTTATCCCTGGAAGGATTGATATTCCTTAAACTTCTTGCAACTGAGGCCGGAAATGGAGATGTGAGAGTTGGGATGACCGGCGTGGTGGCTTGGGACTGACCGGAAGCGGAGGGGCTTGGCATTTGATTTGGCATGGTTGGGTTTGGTATGTGTAGATCACGTGGTGGCTCCCGGGACTGTACTCGCCTTATGCCCAGGGTTGGTTGAGGAATGTTGGAATGCGCTACTACCTCCCTACCACCTAGCGGTCCACCAGGGTAAACACCACGTCCTTCCATTGCTTCTTGAACACGACTTCCCATTCTGCTTGAAGGTCTGAAATATAAAGAAATAAAGAAAATATATATAAAAATCTATTACGGATGTTTTTCTTAAAAAGAGAGAATTCAGAGTTAAAAAATCTGTTTGCTTTCTAAATTCCCCCAAAAAACATTAAAAATTAAAATCATTATTTTAAGTGTTTAGATGACGTTATTGCGCAAGTTTTTAAAAGCTCTATATCATTAAAAATTGCCCTTTAAGAAATGCAAATATCACAAATATAAACAAAAATATACCTAGAGTTGAGAATTACAAGTTCCTTGTACGGTTGTTCCACAAAGAAGTTTGATTTGATGTTGACTAGTTCTTTATGAGAATGATTTTCCTCAGGACTAAGAGTGTAGGCCACAGAACCGGTTTTACTTTCACGTCGATGCAATTGTAGTGATTCAATGCTACCGCAGGGTTCTAGAATTAAATTGTCTATAACAGTCGGGAACTTGTCCGGGGGGGATGGCTGACATTTTTTGTTTATTCAAGGCAGTGGGGTCAACCCCTTTGGTTATAATTGTTTTCACTGATAAAGGGGAGGGGGGCTGCGCCCATACAACCCCACCTTTATACGCCTCTGGCCTTTAAGCATAGGATGTGATAAATGTTTTAACTTGGATAGTTACTAAAATTGAGCTTACAAAATGATGCTGCTTTAATCAAAGACGATTTAGAAGTCGTCAGATAATTGCCATGTTTTAAGGGACACCCTGAATTTATATAATATACCTGTACTGGCTGACAGTGAACTTGGAGATTTGAACGGTTTCAGCTTGGTATCACTCTGTTTCCTGTTTGTTGTCAAATGCTTGGTGGTCAGACCCTTTGTTTTGTCCTGGGGAGCTGACCCATTGACCTCCTGGTAGGGGGATAAACTGTGGTAGGAGGTCACACCTTCAACTTGAAAAAATAGAAGTTTTTCAATCAAGCAATCATTCATCATACATTCATAATACTTTTTAGAGAATAAAATATAAAATCAAGTATGTCTTGAGAGAGTTTGAATAAACCTTTTTTGTAGATTATGACAGCACTTTTGCTCAGCTGAGCAAGTTAAAGGTTTTCAGGGCACAACGGTTGCTGATCCNACAATTTCCTTTCACGCCCCTGTACCTGCCATTCTTTAATATTTGGAAAGAAAAGAATTCAAAATAAATCATCCCGAATTCTCTCCGTTTGTGCTTCTTACCTGAGTTATCAAGGAGTTTAAATCTCTTCCTAGCGTATTTACTCCTGAGGAGAAGAGAGATGAGATACACGAGGAGAATAATCACGATCAAACTCACACAGATAAACACTTTCTCCAGCAGGAAGGATTCAGAGGGAACACTCGGCACAGCCGTTCCAACAACAATACTGAAATTATTGATTATATTTGTGACTTTCCAATTATAGAATGGCACATACGATTTACAACAGTACCGTTAATCAACAATACATGTGATAGCTATATTCTTCTTATTGATTATTTTCAATTGTGGTTTCTTTCTGATGTGACTTGCGACATTCTGCTTCAGAACCAAAAGAGAAAACTGTCAGAATTAATCACTTTTCAAGCTAGAAACATGACGATATCTTCCACATCATTAATCTTGTTCAGCTAAAAGTTTAAATGAGTACCGTTGAAATCTCCCTTTTTTAATGTAAGGTCACTTTAATTACAGACGGTCCCTTTAATTAGTTTACATTAATTTGATTGTGCTATAAATACATAATAGTTCGATAGGAATGGGAAAATAGAAGCTCAATGTCAAATTATGTCCAAATATTCTAATTTTGATAAGCAACAGTGGGAGGCGATTTCAATAGAATGATTTTTTAAAAGTTTTGATTGTTAACAAGTTTTTTTTCGAGTTTAGCTGTAATCAAAGAGAAGCTTTTTTAATTCACAGCTTCTCTTGACTTATCTATGTTTATGTGCTTCCATGCTGCTTAACAGCTTGCTTTACATCAAAATTGATATCAAAAGTCGTCTTCATTGCATTGATATAATCGCTTATCGCTGTATGGAAGCTCCAAAAAACCCCGCCAAATCTGGCATTTTCAAAATGTATTTAGCTCGAAATGATCTGAAGAAAAAACATGAGAAAACTAAAGTTATTATTTACAATTTCTAATTAAGACCGTTCTAATTAGCCATTCATCCATATATAACCTAATTGATTGTGATTTCTTTCATAACTAACGAGCATAATTAATTATGAAAATATTCCTGATAAGTTTGTTTTTGTTATATTGTAATATATTATAAAAGGGACAATTTACTAATTTCTAGCTGGTCCATACTAAATATCCCTGACTTGTGACTGGCTTTCGTGGTTTTTTTTGCGTAAACTATAACTTAAATCCGCAAATAATAAAACTTGTATTATTTCATAAATGTACGTTTATGACGCAATAAAAATGTTTTCAAATTCAAAATTTTAAAATTCGGAATAGTTTTTAAATTTGTTGAATAATCTTAAATTCAACCATTTTAAAATTAGACTGTTCATTAAAAGATAGATAGATACTTTTAAAAAACTTTTCATGAATTAAAGGGACTGCAATCGTAATTTCAAGTAAGTGGCAAGTCCGATTCTAAGCAGTACCCTTTAAACAAAGAGAATAGAATATATATTAGAGTGGAATTAAGACAATCCCTCGGAATGAGTTTTGCCAGTCCCTTTCAGCCTGAAACGGAGTTCAACGTGTACAAATCATGTAAATGTTCACAAATTATATGCAGTATTAATACAGTATGCTCCCTAGACTATCCATTTCAATTTCGAATTTTTTAAAGCTGTTAAATAAACTTTATTAAATGAATTAGGCGAATAAAAAACATCATTTGATTTATAGTTATAACGGAAAATCATCGTTTGTAAAGTGAAAGGCATAGAGTCTATAATGTGAAATGATCATTGGTCAATTATGAAACCAGCCTATTTCATAATTTGGTTTTCTTTTAATATTAATTTTAGATTTTTCCATGGCCTAAAAGGTTATATAGACGAATTTGTGAAGTACACCTGCAGTATGGAAACAGTACAACAAAATGGCCGTTTTACACTTTTTTTTTAGTAAATTACACTCTAATATATATTCTATTCTCTTTGCCTTTAAACCTTTGCCTGATTAAGAATGTCCTTTTTCTTTGAAAATTGATTATTTTTTATTGTAGTTTCTTTATAATGTGACTTGCGCCATTCTGCTAATGAGATCCTATGGAGAAAATTACCCGAATTAAAGGGACCGTTCACTTATTTGGGTTATTTTAGGGTAAACTTAATAGCCTTTTAGCTATTCATAGGTATTAGTTTAACTTTTCTCAAACAACTGTGGCCTGAGCAAAAGCCGATTTATCATTCAGAATTCCAGCGCAAAGGTATGATAACTTTGCATTTACACTATTTGATGCTTTTTGTCATAGTCATGGAATTTTAAAAATTTAAAAATATTAAATTAAATTGTAGTATCTAATATTTAATTGTAGATATCTTTAATGTTTTTTAAAAATTATTTTTAAATTGTCTTTTTTCAAAATATAACTTATTTTAAACATTTAAACAGTTTCCATAGGCTTCCCCAAGAATTTCCGTGATTTATAGAAGAGTTGGAATCTAGGAACCGGTTTCTAGGAGAGAGAAAGTCGTCTTTGTATAAACGTGTTAATTTATTAAATCATATTTAAACACAAAAAAACGTTACTTTCTTGCAAATTCTACAATCGAAAGTTTTTATATTTTATTATATAATGGCTGACACATGATGTCATTGAAATATGATAATTTTAGATTTTATGGGGCTGTTGTTCCTGAAAAAAACGTTTACATAGTGTCTATGCAAAGGTATCAAAGTTGAATAAAACATTTATAGAATTTCCTTTCCCCGAAATAGGTCCACTGTGACCTGCTCATTTCAAGACTCTTTTATAGAAAAAAATTCAGTTAAAAATCATAAAATTCTTTGCAAAATCTAAAAATGAAAAAAAACGAGAATTCCACTGTTTTCTGATTCCCCTGTACATACTTACTTTTAAGTTACGAAACCGGCCTTTTACACTATTTCTTTATTTTTTATCATTTTTCTTGTAAAACTTTCATTTTATATAAACTTTTGTTAAAAGAAAAGTTTAATGAATTAGTTGCAATTTCCACTACGAAGTTTAAATAAATGTTTGTTAAAAAAAGGTGAAATTATTCAAGGGATAGCTCTAGAAATAAATTAATCACAACAATTCTTAGCAATATTCCAAAATCATCAGAGAGATTGAAGATGACAATCATTCCAGAGCTTTATGGACACCGTTTAATTTCTCATTTTAAAAAGTACTGCAGCATGCAATCCTTACTGCATAAACCATAGATTAATTAAAATAACAGATAGGACACTATAGATGTCGTCTGTTCAAGATTTATCAGTATTTCGTTCACAATATCCCTGAGGCAGAAGCGTAGTCGGCGTAGAACAGGCTCTCTCTCTGTCTTGTAATTCTACAGAGAGAGAGCCTGTTCTACGCCGACTACGTTTAACTCCTTTGGGCCAGTGCCTCAGGGTTATTGTGAACGAAACGCTTAAAAAGACGACATCTAGTGTCCTAGTTGTTATATTAATCAATCTATGGCATAAAGAAACACATTCTAAACTCTAGCAGAAGATATTTTCTGCGAATCACAGTTTTTTGTAGTATCAAACACAAAAATCATTTACAAAAACTTTATTTTAATTTCTTTGGGACACCCTGTATCTATTTATCTTATCTAAGACCTACTAGAACTGGGTCTTCCACATAGACAGGCGGATACAGGATTTAAGTGAGGGGGGGACCCCCCCCCTGTCAAACACATATTTTTATTTCATCATTATACAAAAGCAAACAAGGATTTAGTTCAAAATTGTTTATTTTTCAGCAAGGAAGGTACCCAGCCTAGGATCCAATAAAGAGTGCACTGCCATGGGTAGAAGGATTGTAAACAAATAAATAAATCTTTTCACAAACTACGTTTTCAATTACTATATCTGCAGTTAAGTCCCTAGAGATTTATGGTGTCAGTGTTCCTTTATAGAGAATTGAAACGAATGCACTGAAAAGTATTTTCATATTCTTACATCCTTGGAACCCGATGTCGTAGTTCTTTGATAATTTTAGTTATGATTATATAATCATCATTTTAAAGATCACACGTTTACAAAATCAGGTTACAAGAATTAGAGTTTGGGCCAAGTGATCAGGTTCTTTGGATTTAGATGTAAGTAAACTATTGTTACAAATATTTAACTACGCGTTTTTTTACATCTTTCCAGCAAAGCTAGCAACATTTTTCGGCAATTCTTTTTAAATTACTAGTTTAAAAGTAAGCAAAGCGGATCTGTTAATTGTCAAATGCTGAAGTGTTTCTGCTGTTTGAAAGCTTTGTAAAAAGTCGTCCTAATTGTATTGATATATACGACGACGACTTTATACATGATTCTAAGACACTAAGTTATTCACCTGGTTTTGGGATTTAGGGATTCAGGATCAATCGGCATAAATCCCTTTCTCTGTTCGTTCCCCTGGTTCTCTTGGTTCTCCAGGTTCTCATTAGGATCCTCGTATCCAGGGTAGGGGTGAACATAAGGATGGTTTTCATACGAGTCCAATCTAAAAAAGTTGGTTGTCAACTCAAAAGATAAATAAATCTATAACTTACATCTTCAGGGTTACCCACAAAGGATTAAACTGCAGAGTCGACTGTATAAAATTTATATTGTCTGTCTCAATATACTTATGATTCTAAGAACCGTAAACCTTTACCAAATTATTACATAAGCCATAAAAAGATTATTTTTAAGGCTTGATTTCATTCTGGAATTGTCAGAATTAAAGAGTTTCAGGTCGTCTTTACATTCTCATCCTTTGTGGATAACCCTGTACAGTCCTTTTACGGAGACAAGTTGAAAGCAACTGTACCTTGGATCCTGGACATCAAAGGAAGGATTTTCATAAACTGGATCCAGTATACTGTACTCATCCTTCTGAGAATATCTACCACTAGAATAATAATTTCCAATATGATCAGTCGTTGCAGATGACGTTGTATCCACCGGTTTTGTTGTTGTGTAAACATAGATTGTATTATAGCTCTGAGTTCTGATTGGCGGGGGTTGAACGGCGGGTTCTTCTGGAAAATCCTCAATATTACTTCCATATTGAGCTTCTTCCTTCTCCTCGTGGATCAGCTGATTATCTAGATGGGCATCCATCTTGGATTTGTAATGGGCATCTTCAATATCCTCATCCGTTTGCGCATTTACTACATCCTGAACTGTAGCTCCGGAACGATTGCTGTTCAGCATTTTGAAAATACTCATTATAGGTCGCTCCTTAGTCGTTTTCACGCTATTTCCGGTCGTCTCGTTCTGTTTGAATAGGAGATTAAAAACAGTAAATTTTAAAAGAATTGTATTTCAATCTTTGATGATTTCTAATTTTCATGCTCAAGCGTAAAGTTTTAAATTTTAAAGGATTTCAAGTTTAAAAAATACTCTTTATCTAACGATGAAAACCAGAAATTCTGAGACTCATGAAATTTTAATTATACTTCCTTTAAATAAATTTACCTTCTAAGTCTTTCTAGAATTTGGTTTTCTTGTAATTTTTTGCAATTTCAAAAATTGTAAAAATGAAAGTTTTGAAATATTCTAATATTGTACCGTTTATNATAATAATAATAATAATAATAATAATAATAATAATAATAATAATAATAATAATAATAATAATAATAATAATAATAATAATAATAATAATAATAATAATAATAATAATAATAATAATAATAATAATAATAATAATAATAATAATAATAATAATAATAATAATAATAATAATAATAATAATAATAATAATAATAATAATAATAATAATAATAATAATAATAATAATAATAATAATAATAATAATAATAATAATAATAATAATAATAATAATAATAATAATAATAATAATAATAATAATAATAATAATAATAATAATAATAATAATAATGATAATAATAATAATAATAATAATAATTATAAATAATGATAGTAATAATAATAACAATAATAATGATAATAAGGATAAGGATGGTTTGATATTGGGGTGAGAAATAAATAAGCTTAAAAATTCTAAATGCAATTTCTCAATTCTCTTTTCTAAATCTCGGGTCTAAAATAAAAAGAATAGTTACGAGGTCGCAAAGTTGTACCTGTAAAGACTGTAGAGAATCACTGATTCCAAAAACAGGTTGACCGTAAACCTCCTCCTTCTAAAATAGGTCAAGCTTAAAACAAAAGAGCAAGGCGCTACTATAGTGCCCCTCCCACCCCCACACTTAGAAAAAAATTAAAATGCAGAACAGGGTTAAATAACAAAATTTCTTCTTACATTCAAAAATTTTAAATTATCAAATTTCATTCTTTTCAAATGTTTCATAATTTCCCACCAAACAAACTCAACTGACGACAAATGAACCTCTATTTGCATTCATAAAACTTAAAAAGACGAAAAATCATTAAATAAAAGATCAAAAACGTAAACCACAAAAAATCTATAGAAAATGGCAAACATTGTTTACCGTTGATACTCTCATTCAAATATTGAAAAGAAACCGTGGAAAATGTCAAATTTTCTTTTATCTGAGTAAAAATTATATTATTATTAAAAATCGACAATTTTTGCATTCAATTTTTTAGACATAAGAACAATTTTAAAACAGACATTTAAACGTTGTTAAGTGTGAAAATGGATTAAAATTATAACGGTTTTACCCAAAGAATTTAGTACTGTATAAAGACTAGATATCTTTTTACAAGTGAATGCATTAAAACAATAGTTACTAGAATTTCTCTCAAATGGAATGATTTATTTGATGTACTGTCCCGGTTTGCATTATTTGGTCTACATATGTACTGTACATCTTGCTCTAGCTACTTAAAAGTCGGCCCGGTTTTAATCTTTAGTTTTACCTCTTGTTGTGCCGGAGAGAAATCAGACTGGAATTTGACCTGTCCGGCCTCCCCGGCCCCCTCAGATTCATCGTAGTCGTCGTTGGTGGAATCCGCCCAGGAATATGAACTAGACGCGGCAGTAGCGCTCATTTAATATTCATAATATTCCTTTTCTTTTCCCTGATTAATCATTGAAAGAACTGTAAACATAAGAATTAGATACCCTCCGGTTAAGAAGTGGCTTTTCTAATTCACAACAGTACGATTAAAAACTTGATTATTTTCAATTAAGATTTTTCTATGAGGTGGTTTGCGCAATTGTGCACCAAAAGATTGTGGAAATAATAAACACACTATAAGCTAGAAAAACTAAAATATCTTCTTCATCACATTTTTGATCAGAAAAAGGTTTAAAGAGAAAATGTTTGAATCGGAATGCCCCTAAAATTCTTTTTGTTTACACTAATTAACCATTAATTAACGGAGTTCCCAACAATAAAACTAATTAAATCAATCGAGTTTCTTTCTTTTTATGTCATCAGGTATTCACGCTTGGAAATAGAAAAAGTTATTTACTTATTTTATATTTGTAAAGAGTCCTCAAGAAATACAGAAACTTACGTCATAAAGCTAAACGAAAGTGAATTTTTAATTACTCTGAAGCGAGAATACAGAAATGCAGAGTAATAAGTAAGATAGTTTATAACTTCTAAGCAACAAGTTTTTATGAATGATTGCATCTTCAGTTTAAAGCAAATGTTGCAAAAAAAATAACAATTATTAGTTTTATGCAAACGAAAAGTAGAAAAGACTTTTACATTTTATGTTATTTTTAAATTAAGTCCTGAAACTCTGTTGTCAATAATTACTCTCTGGTTTACTTTTTATTACATTAATTAGCTTTCTTTGGGAAATAATATTCCTTCAATAGCCAATGTGCCTTCATGAGCTATGGGGAAAAGATAAGCAACAAAGATTTAGAAATGTTTGATAGTTTGAATATTTTAGTTTTAATCCTGAAAAGTATAAATATCTCAGTTTTTATCTGGAATAGTTTAAATATTTCAGTTTTTATCTGGAATAGTATAAATATCTCAGTTTTTATCTGGAATGGTTTAGATATTTCAGTTTTTATCTGGAAAAGTATAGATATCTCAGTTTTTATCTTAAATAGTTTATATATCTCAGTTTTTATGTGGAATAGTTTAGATATCTCTGTTTTTATCTTAAATAGTTTAGATAACAGATTCAGAACGAATGGGATTCTCAACCGTAACAGGGATATTTTACAACTCTGCAACCTCCCAATTGTACGGAATGAGCTTGAACCCCCTTTAATCAAAGAAATATCAAATCTCAATGCTTTCTGTTGTGAACTTCAACAATTCTCATTTTTAAATCTGGAAAAGTATATATACTGGTAAATTTTTATACACGTGGGATATCCATGTTTTTATACTTGAAGTTGTTTTATAGATGATTTGATGTGTCCTTGTTTTACCCTTATAAAACTCTAAAAAGTGCAGTTATATGTTTATCTAAATATTCAGACTTTTATTGACTATATATTCTAAAAATTGATATACCTTTGTTTATTATTTTTATTCTCTAAAGGTGAGAACAAGAAACCTGTGAAATATGAAGACGACATTAAAGCAATAATTAAGTGTATTTGACGCTATTACAAATTAAATACTTCATACTGGTAGTTTTATAAATCACTTATAAAGTGAAATGAGTCTATTTAACTGCAAAATTGCTGTGTTTCTTTGGACAATTACTTGTCATAATTTGAGTCTAGAGGTCGTCTTCCTATTCCAGAATTACTCTAAGAGCAAGCTGAATATAACATGTCTACTCTAGTATTGTATACTCTAAGAACCAGATGAATATAACATGTCTACTCTAGTATTGTATACTCTAAGAACCAGCTGAATATAACATGTCTACTCTAGTATTGTATACTCTAAGAACAAGATGAATATAACATGTCTTCTCTAGTATTGTATGCTCTAAGAGCAAACTGAATATAACATGTCTACTCTTGTATTGTATACTCTAAGAGCAAACTGAATATAACATGTCTACTCTAGTATTGTATACTCTAAGAACAAGATGAATATAACATGTATACTCAAGCATTGCATACTCTAAGAGTAAGCTGAATATAACATGTCTACTCTAATATTGTATACTCTAAGAACAAGATGAATATAACATGTCTACTCTAGTATTGTATACTCTAAGAGCAAACTGAATCTAACATGTCTACTCAAGTATTGTATACTCTAAGAGCAAGCTGAATATAACATGTCTACTCTAGTATTGTATACTCTAAGAGCAAGCTGAATATAACATGTCTACTCTAGTATTGTATACTCTAAGAGCAAGCTGAATATAACATGTCTACTCTAGTATTGTATACTCTAAGAACAAGCTCAATATTACATGTCTACCCTAGTATTGTATACTCTATGAACAAACTGAATATTACATGTCTACTCTAGTATTGTATACTCTATGAAAAGGTTGAAAACGTTGTCTACATTTTCTTTTATTTTCCTTGACAAAAGAAAATGTTTGTTGTACAGTATTCTCATAAAATTAAATTACTCCCACCATGTTTTCTAGAAAATACCAATTTACTTTTTAAATTATTTCAACTTTTCAGGATCTGAACTGGTAGTTTCTTTTTAATGATAACGTATGTGTTTTTTGTTATAAAGAAACTGAGTCTTTCCCAGTAACTATGATTTTCAAATCAAATATTTACACCAACATGTTGCAAAGATATAGGGATTAGAAAATTAGAGTTTAAGAGTTAGAGGATTAAAGAGTTCCAGATTGCCATTAAAAAGTCTCATGTTTTGTGCTTTACCCTGTATACATATATTTTAAGGATATCGTGTATTTGACATAAACTTGATTATATTAGTAAAAGTACACAAGGGTATATTTGAACATGTAATATATAAATTATATTAAAAATCGTGGTGTCGTCATCAAATATTAACTTTACATAACAAACTCATTTTATTTTACAGTGTAAAATCAATCGTTATTATAACTAACTTTTCTTTTAAAGAAGTAAATCATGATTTATTAGTTCGACCCTCCCACGAGGATTTAACAGTTTGGTCCTCATTCCAACGAGCTGTAACGTTCGAGCACAATTTGACCTTTTAAGCCAAAACTTTTTCTTTGCGTTTTTACTTTTATGTCTGCGTTTGCGTTTTAAATGAAAAAATATAAAAAAGAAACTCCGCAAGTTTAAAAGTTTTTCAATTTGAGACCAAAACTCGATTGAATACAAACAGTAAGTCACTTAAAGAGAACCGCAATCAAATTAAATCAATTTTCGAACTGAAAATCAAGGACAAAGGTTTAAATGGTAACATTGTGAATCTGACATGGAACTCAATTTAAAGTTACGTCGACAGTCTCATACAAGAAAATATTTCATTTGCAATTTTATCTTTTGAAAGATTTCCTGAAGAAAGATCCATTTAAGAATTCTCGGAAATATTTTTTAAAGTCTAAAAACGGAAATATGAAATGTTGATGGGATGAAATATGAAATGTTGATGAGATTAAATATGAAATGTTGATGGGATGAAATATGAAATGTTGATGGGATGAAATATGAAATGTTGACGGGATGAAATATGATATGTTGATGAGATGAAATATAAAATGTTGAGGGGATGAAATATGAAATGTTTATGGGATGAAATATAAAGCTACAATTTCAGATGTTAGATAGGGCTAAGGTTCACTTTTCCTAAATTAGTTATGGAGCAAATATCTATGATAATTTTTTTCGTCAAAGAGATTTCTGTAATTTTGTTCACTCCTTCTTTACGGATTGATTTAATAGATTTGTAACTTTTTCATCATTTCTAAACAATGATGAAATCTGCAAGTTTTTAAAAACCCCGCTTTTAAAGTAAGTAAGAAAAAAGTGAAAAAATAAAAGTCTACGCCATCAATTACTAGTAAAACAGGTATTTTGTTAACTAAATTCGTGCTTTAAATACCTTTAGGTTGAGTACAAGATTTTCTGAAGATGAAACCCTAGAAGTTATTATTAGATTAATTTATACAGTTCTTTTCTATTCTATTCTATTCTATTCNTATATATATATATAGATTATATCATAATATATTATATTCTACATGATATATCTAATCAGTAGTTTTACAGCAAACTTATTATTATTATTGTTAGTAAGCTATTATTATTTAATTGTATTCAGAGAATTTAACATTTAAAGGGACTAGGGACTGTAGACGTAATAACATTAGATATCCCATTTCTAGACTGACCGATTCAGAACGGTACCCCCTGTAATTCTGTGTCTTGTAATCTACTAAAAAGATATTAGTATTTTATAAGTATAAGTTTACAGTGTGCACTCGAGTCTCCCTGTACTTAGCTTTTGCAGCTAGAAGAATACAGACATATCAATTATCAAGCAAAGTTTTTAAAGGCACTGTTGGTAATCGAACATGACACTCATTAAATAAAGGGTAACTTGAAATTACGTCTATATTCCTTTCGATGACATTGTGTTAATAGAAAATCAATGTATTTGTTGAGACATGATTTCTGAGCTTGTTATTGATAATTTATCACACATCCCCACATGTTCTATAGTACGTTAACAATACAACAATAAAATAATACATCAGTACAACATGTCAGCAGTACAACAGTACAAAAACACAAAAACACAACATTACATCAGTGCAACAGTACAACAGTACAACAGTACAACAGTACAACAGTACAACAGTACAACACCACAACGTGCAACAGTACAGCATTGCAATAATAAAACAGTACACCAGGTCTATAGTAATAAAGTACATCTTTGACGTACTTAGAGTTTAAGAACGAGAAGAGAAAAGAAATTAAAACCTTTAAGTTCTGCAAATATTTGTGTTTGAAAGATCGTAAGAAAAGCAGTGCAAAAACACATCCTTAAATATTCGTACAGGGTGTTCTTTTAATATTACCAATTTTTCAAATTACTTCAAATTTCTTATTGTTTGGAATTTTTCCAATCTGTAAAAAAATTAGAGTTATCAAAATATGAACGTTTTGTTGTATACAATGAAAATTCACAATTCTAAAACAAAAGATTGCGCTAATTCAGTTATTTAATTTGATATAATTTGCTAGTTTATAGAAGAGAATTTCGCTAAATTAAATGATTTAGAGCGAGCGCGAAAAAAATGATAGAAATTTTTTTTTAAAGCAATGTTTTATTAAGCAATGGCAGGAAGACGACATTTATAGCGTACAAATCCCGTTGTGCATTCTAGAAAACTGGGGCGTCATTCAGATTTTATTTAGCAAGAACTCAATTGTATAGTAAAAGAATTTTTCAACGAACTAAATTTCAAAAAGTCGAATGAACATTTTCGCGTGTTTTCATTCGCTGAAAACTCTACTAATAAGGGGAAGAGGAAGGAAAATAAAAAGTTTTATCATTAAAGGGACTGTATACGTATTTTCATGTGGCATGTCCGATTCAAAAAGGTACCCTTCAAGCTTCTATCTGGATATCAAAGAGGACGATTTTGTTGTTTTCGCTCTTGTAAAGCTGTAATCGAGAAACCACATTTAAAAGAATCATTTTTTAAGCTAGACAAACAAGAATTTATCATTCATCTTTGATAAGACGAAGGTTTAAACGGCACAACTATTGAAATTAACCTAACAGTCCCTTTAATGTTATATGTTCCCTGGTATCCTCCAGTACTGGTCTAACAGTCCCTTTAATGTTATATTTCCCTGGTATCCTCCAATCCAATACTGGTCTCCATCATAGAAAAGTAAATATGTCAATTATGATGTGATAATTAAGATTGGTTACAACCACCAATGACGTCAAACAGTAAAAGGTCGCCATGCAACCAACTTTTTGTCAGAGTAGGGTCCGAGGGGGTTAAATTCAATTTATTTGATTAACTTAAATATTGTCTTTAAAGAGGATCAATTCGTACCTGTGATTTTGATAACAGGGATCCCCCAAAACAATGAAAACAAGCAAATTAATTGGTGAGATCTTAAATTCATATTTTTTATGAATGGTGGAAAGTTAAAGGGACTGTAAGCTTAATTTCGAGAGACCCTTCATACAAAGATGACATTGCCCGATTCACAACAATACCCTTAAAACCCTTTATGTGTTCAAAAATGTTAAAGATATTGTAGTTTATTTTAGTATTAATTACTGTGAATTTCTCCCTTGTTTTTTATAAGCAAGAAATAAGCAAGCCACTTTTGCAGAGAAACTACAAATAAGAAAGGAAACAAAATAAACAAAATCATGGATATCTAATTCATACTTGATCAGACCAAGCTTGTAAAGGGTACAGTTGTGAATCTTACACTGTCATCTTTGCAAGAAGAATCATTTGAAATTACAGTTTGGTCCTATCAACCCCTAAAAAATAACCTAGTATGCATATAAATCTGTATAATAAAACTCTTATCTCATTTATATATATTTATATGTCAGCTACAGGCACAGCTGGCCAAACGGCTGAACCAAATTGGCTGAAATTTTATAGGAAACCCATAAGTACCCTGAGGGTATAAGGCGTTAATCATAATTTTTTTTGTGGAATAGTTTTTTTTCAATATTCGATTTTTTTATTCCACGGGCAACGCCGGGCACTTTAGCTAGTACTAGAATAAAATGAGTGTACTGCGCATGCCTGAATGCTTCTTGTTTGTTTCTATCTGTGCAGACAGTGTTTGAGAAGAAGGAGCATGGTTTAACAGTAACAAATCCCTCACGCTGACAGCTTCGACAGGAAGAACAGATCTAAAAAGTATCCTTGTTAATCGGAAATGTACCCCTTTGAAAAATGGAGGGTCTGAGCTATAAAGTGACAGGTTAAAAAAAAAGTGTTGCTCTCACGTGTGGATAATTATTTTGGCCTTAAAGGGACTGTGAGCGTAATTTCTAGTGACCCTCCATGCAAGAATAGAAATTTCCATTTCAAAGCGGCCTACCTGGACGCCTAAAAGATTTTTGTCTTTTCAACTACGAATCAGAGCAATGTTTATAATCTTGAAAACTGATTATTTTTAATTGTAGTTTCTGTAAAAAAGTAACTGCTGGAAAAAGTTATTAGAATTATCAAAAATAAACACTTTTTTAGAAAATAATATTTTCCACAATATTGATCAGATAAAGGTTGCAGGAATACCATTGTATTCGAGCATTGTCATTTTTGTATAAAGGGTCACTTGAAATTACGCTTACAGTCCCTTTAAAGAAAGAGACTTTTATCGGCTCAGGGGTTCATGAGCTATGATCGGACATGCAAACAAACAGACAGACAAACAGATATAGATTTTTATCTTTAGAAAATGATTTTTTGAAAGCATGTAATTGTAAGCTAAAATAATTTGACTTATGATGATTTCTTAAGTCTCCATTCTTCAAAACAAAAATTTGTATTGCACATACAGTTTTTTAAACACATTTTATCATTAAAAAAGTGATCAAAGACAAAGACTATCCTTAAGTCGTCTCCCAATGTCCTGTTTAGTGGAAACCCTGTAGCTCAGTTTCTAATACGTCATGATAAACCCCCTCAAGCTATTCTAAGTAAAAAATCTTATTTGAGTAGATTTTCTTTTTTAATAAACAATTCAATTTACGAGTTAGCAACGGTTCAAGAGAACTTATAAATAAATAAAATAAATTCATGGCACACACAACTTTTATATCTTAATAAATACAGAGAACAACTTTTATATCTTAATAAATACAGAGAACAATTTCTCTTTGTCACAACTTTGAAGAAAAAACTCAACTCAACCTTAACTGAACCCTATACTTGGGTGAAACTTAATCAAAATTTACTTCTTGGAGTTTGTTTATTCAACTTTTAAGGTTTGTGGACTTTTAAAAGGTTAAAAAAAATTTTACTTTGAAAAAAGTTTATTCTTAACATTAGATTTGCTAACACTCGCAAAAACAATACTTTTAAAAAAAATAATTTCTCTTGGGGTAAACCTTTGCATAGTTTTTGAGAAAAAATATTTTACGAATACTGTTTTATAAATGTTGGAATCTTCTTAAGTTCAACTTCATTATAGCATTTGTGAGGTGCCTCTTAAATTCAAAAAAAAAACTTTTTTAAAACTCCTAGAAAAACCAATCACTACTTGCAATGCTGGACATTTTTTACAATATTTTAAATTAATCACCAATAACTGCAAGTTTTTAACCTAAAGAATTTGAAGTTTTAGTGGAGTTTTATTCCTTAAAAATCCGGGGTGTTTTAAACATAATTTTTTATTGTTAATATGGACGGACCTGTTTTTCAATGTCCCAGTAATAGTAGAGAGAAGGAGGTGAAGGACGGTATCTTGTAAGTAAATCATGCTGTTTATACGGGTTCTTCCAAAACCTGGATATAAATACATTTATATGCTGCACTCTGTATCCTTTATCCCTTTGTCTGTATTTTTAGTCCTGTATCCTGTATTTAGTATCGTTGGTTCTGAATCTTTTATCCTGTGTTCTGTATCCTGTATCCTGTATCCTTGTATCCTGTATCCTGTATCCTGTATCCTGTATCCTGTATCCTGTATCCTGTATCCTGTATCCTGTATCCTGTATCCTGTATCCTGTATCCTGTATCCTGTATCCTGTATCCTGTATCCTGTATCCTGTATCCTGTATCCTGTATCCTGTATCCTGTATCCTGTATCCTGTATCCTGTATCCTGTATCCTGTATCCTGTATCCTGTATCCTGTATCCTGTATCCTGTATCCTGTATCCTGTATCCTGTATCCTATATCCTGAGACTGAATGACCTCTATTACTTAGAATGAATTGAATTGAAAACATTTTAAACTTTTTACTAAACTTGCAGATTCAGCATTAAAACATCAGAATATCTAAAATGCAAAAAGTATATCTAATCTTTTTTCGGACGATTGAACTCAAGAATCAATTTAACTTTTTGCATTTTGCAATGAATGTTTTAACGGTATTAAAGGGATTATTAGTTTATTTTTTAAGGAGAATAATGAATTTAAAATATTGAATATAATGGATTACAAGCAGACTTTTAAGCAGCTAGAGTAAGCTGTAGAGTAAGTATACAGACTAAATGAGGCAAACGGTACGGTACACCAAATGAATCAGCCCTTTCTGTTGAAATTATTTAGTGGTATGAATACTCAATTCCATAATAAAAAATGTAGGTTTATGGAAATATTATTAAAATCGAAAATTAAAAACACATTTTTCTAAAAAGCTGGATTTTAGTAACAATATTTATTAAATCCTTCTAATTTTATAAATTTAGATAAAAAGTTTCCCAGAATCCCGGCCCTGAAGGATTTCAAATTTCAATGATTTTACGTGATTTATTTAAAGATGAAGGCAACTTCTTAATTTTTTTCTTTATGTTTATAAATTTTAAAAGTGTGCAAGTAAAAAAAATTTGGAAGGTTTCAGATGTTTTTTAAATGCTCACTTTGAAATTAGGTTCTTTATAAAAGAATGTCATTCACTAAGAAAATATCCTTCAGAATATCGAATGAAAAGAGTTTTTTTACTCTGAGAAAAAGGTTTAACACAATTTTCTTTTTCAAAACCTTTTTTCCTTAAAATTTTAAATTTGAATCTGTTATTTTAAAACCAAAATGTGATCTGTGCAGAGATCTTATTTCGAACATATATTGAATGTTTTAAACCTTAAGTATTATAAATGTTCTGCAGGTTCAAGCTGAAAATTTATAGGTATTCAATATTCAAATGGTCCAATCCACTTAAGTATTGAAATTTATACACACTTTACAGATTATAGACGATCAGAAAAATCTAGAATTTTTTAATGATGGAAAAAATTCTTCAGTAAATATTGTTGAAATCAAATATTATTAAATGCATGATTCCAGGTATAAAAGTCAATTTATTTTGTTATTTGCCACTTAAAAAATTCTAATATTCGTATCAACAAATAATAAAATAATTTCCTAGAACATGGTGTTCAATCAGGTTTTAGTGAAGTTTTAGTTTCCAAACGTGTCTTTATGTAAAGTACAACCGTTTAATTAGGGGTCTGCATATAATTAAGATAATTATTAATCGAATTTATTAGATAGGCATACTCTCTCTGGTAAGACATAAGCTATGTCTAGCTTTTTATTTAATAATCAAGTGCCGGGGATCCTAAGTGTGTTAATAAATCGAGTAAACATTTTGTTAAATCAGCTTCAAAATATTTTAACCTGCTTCATAACTGTTCTGCAAACGTTAGAGCTATTTATTTAAGTTTACAACAAAATTTAGGTAATTTATATTCATAAAAAATAATTTAACCAAGTTAATTATGTTTTATTTAAGTTCATACATTCCTTTTAAACTAAGAACGGGAACCGTTGATGGCTCAAAAAATAAGAGCAGAAACCTTTGATGGCTCGGAAACTGAGACCAGAAACCTTTGATGGCTCGGAAACTGAGACCAGAAACCATTGATGGCTCGGAAACTGAGAGCAGAAACCATTGATGGCTCGGAAACTGAGAACACAAACCTTTGATGGCTCGGAAACTGAGAGCAGGAACCATTGATGGCTCGGAAACTGAGAGTAGAAACCTTTGATGGCTCGGAAACTGAGAGCTGAAACCTTTGATAGCTCGGAAACTGAGAGTAGAAACGTTTTGTGGCTCGGAAACTGAGAGAAGAAACCTTTGATGGCTCGGAAACTGAGAGCAGAAACCTTTAATGGCTCAGAAACTGAGAGCAGAAACCTTTGATGGCTCGGAAACTGAGAGCAGAAACCTTTTATGGATTGGAAACTGAGAGCAGAAAATTTTGATGGCTCGGAAACTGAGAGCAGAAATCTTTGATGGCTCGGAAACGGAGAGCAGAAACCTTTGATGGCTCGGAAAATGAGAGCAGACACCTTTGATGGCTCGAAAACTGAGAGCGGGAATCATTGATGGCTCGGAAAATGAAAGCAGAAACCATTGATTTCTCAGAAACTTAGAGCAGAAACCATTGATGGCTCGGAAACTGAGAGCAGAAACCTCTAATGGCTTGGAAAATACACATCACTTTTAGCGGCAATAATCACGGAACGATTTTCAAGGCGACATTTTAAAAATACTTTCTTAGGCAGCAAAAATCTGTGATATACAGAATATAGATATTGTATTCAGTTCTTTTCAGAAACAACTGTATTTAAAACATACAAGATTTCAAACAGAAGCATCAATTAATTCTATTCGACAAACGAAGAAAATGGTCTGTTTTAAGATACTTTAAAATAGACAGACACAATATGTACAAAAATAAACATGTTTGCATAAATAGAACCTAATCGTCTAATATTTTAAATTTATACATCTATTACATTAACATGCCTAATTCATGAACATGAAAGCATAGGCTCATGGGAGTGTTCCCTTATATTAGTTAATTATGTCAACCCTGCCTCTGGGACCAAATGAAAAAAAAAACTTTTAAATATAAAAATCAGAAATTCTAGGATTTAACTTGTTTGGTTTTTTCGATTCATTGTTTTTTTTCTTGGAAATATATCTAAAAGTTTTAGTAAAAAATATGAAAACGTTCTCCGTAAAATATTTCTAATTTCCTTAAAAATAAAATTTTGAGCTCGATTTCGAATTTCGAGTTTGTGATAGAACATAAAGAATTATCGCAAACTTCTATAATCAGATGTGTCCTAATTTTATCCAAATGCTTTACGTTTAATTGTTATTATAACATCAAAGGCGAGAAATTAAATGTTTACAATGAGCGACAGAAAACTGTGAAATTATTTTTTAACCTTTAGTCTTCTGTTTTAGATTTTTAACTGTCCAATTGTGCAGTGTACACAGACCCACTTAACAAAGGAATTTTAAGATACTGCTAAAACTATGTGCTTTAAAACAACGACAAACACACGTGAAGATTTAATAAATGTCGTCCTCCTATTCCACAGTTTTATTGTTCTCGCTGTAGATATTTAATAATTGATGTTTTTTCACTTTTAAATAATTATTTAAAATAAACGATAACCCCAATGATACCTCTAATGTTCAAATAGTAATGTATTTGCCGTCAGCGCGGAAAAAATGTGTAAAAGCTATAACCAGTTTTTATTACTTAATTGATTTGAACTTTAAGCTACAAGCTGTACTGTTCAGTGTTGTTCAATGTCATATTAGACTTCAAAGTATACATGTACTTCAGAGTTTAAAGTACGTGTACTTTAGACTTCAAAGTACATGTACTCTAGACTTCAAAGTACACGTACTTCAGGCTTATACTTTATACTATGAAGCAGGCCTACTACTACCTTTATGACTGGCAACATTTTAACAAACGAAATACGTTTTCTCAGTACATTCTCAATTATAAATACAAAATTCAATATATTCATACTAACGGAGAACATTTTTCAAGAAAACTTAAAAATATTTTATCTATGTTTTTTTTTCAAATGTTAAAAATATATTATTTGTTATTTATATTTTACTTTTTTATTTTTAGTTGTTTGTTAAAAACGTCAACTTTATTTACCTGCAGTCCCGGGATAAAATATACCTTTATTTACCTGCAGTCCCGGGATAAAATATACCTTTATTTACCTGCAGTCCCGGGATAAAATATTATCAATGTTCTCCCGACCAAACTTTTTCCCGCCTTTTTTCCATCTTTTCATGCCCTCACTCATTGTAAACGTCATCACTGATACTATAACGTACAGTTGAATATAGTTCATAGTCTATAGTAGTTTACTATCTGTAGAGAATGTTCTTTAAACCCTTTGTTTAGCCCAAATACACCATTTTTAAGTGTGCTAAAGAGGAGCCAGGGCTTGCGCTATAGATCATAGAATGCAATTGTTTGAAATTATAGTTTTGAAGTTTTCAAGATTCTTAAACTATTTCATTCTTTCTCCTCCGGCCTTCACTTCCTGTCAGGACGGCCTCTATTTGAAAACTGAAGGGGCGCAGCCTCATGAGACGGTACGAACATGTTGTTGTTGTTGTGAGAGGCCGACACAAGATTATCCATATCTAGAGATCAATAAAACCTCTCCACTCCCCAATACCTCCCTATGCACTCCCAGATACCTCCCCACTCCCCAATACATACCCAATCCCTGATGCCTCCCCATATCCCCACTCCCCAATACCTCCCTATGCACTCCCTGATACCTCCCCACTCCCAGATACCTCCCGCTTCCCACCGGCCCCACCAGCATAACCCAAGTTTTGACCTTATTTAAGATTTTTCTTTCAAAAAGAGTGAATACAATTTAAGGTGTTACAAAAAAAAATTCTTTATAATAAGTGGATAAACAAATTTGGCGGCTGTCTTAAAAAAACATTCATATTTAAAAAACAGGAAAGTGACCTTTGGCCTTTATACAGCCTGTATCCAAATGGGCATGAAGTGGGTAAAGTTTTTTGAGGTCTTCATGAGGACCCTCTAGCATGTAGTTATGAGGTTTTCTTAGAGACTGGATTTTGGATAATCGAGGTTTAAAATCCTCATTCCTTATGCTTATCACCGAGAATTGCCACAGATGTTTGACTATAAACTGGTCAAGACTGTTGGCTATTCTTATACCATTGCTCCAGAAGAGAATTTTTTTTTCTTGAAGCAGCTTCGGCGTTCAGAGGACAGTGTGAGGACGAACTCCGTCCTTCTAAAAGATTATCTAAGACATGTCTGGAACAGATTCAAGTTTAAATTTGGAACTTCTGAATGTAGAAAAGATCACGCTCCACACTCACACACCCCTTCTAAGGTTGGAAATTTGGAACCGAACATAATGGAACATCACTGACATGGGTCCAAATAACATAAGTTTTGGGGCTGGGAGGACGAAACAGCTCAAAAGAAGACTTGTTAGGAAAAAAACTAGGACTACTGCCCCCCCCCCTGTATACGCACCTGAATGTCAGCCCATTCGGTCCATCCGTTTGGCCAGCTATAGCTGACATGCAATTACGCTGACATGCAATTACATAAATATGTATTTATGAGCGAAGAGAATTATTGCATAGAAATCATAAATTCAGGAAATTTTTGTCAGTGCGTACTTTCCTTCGTACTGCAGTTAGGTTTAGTGAAGAGTCCTTACATTGTTAATATTTATTAATATTTGTCTGCGACTGGATTGAAAGAAAAACTGTGAACTGAAGTGGATTTTGAGTAGCATTGAAACTATAAATAAATATTCTATAGGACCAAGTGTTTTTATCATTTATTTAAGGAACAGGGTTGTTTTGTGACTTTTGAGGAAGGGGACGAAGAGAAATCTCCCCCTCCCAAAAAATGCCAACGTTTTGCTTTATACTAATTTCAGCTTACGTTACGATAGTGTTCATCAAAAGTATAAAAATATGAAAGTCGTATATTATGAAATTTTATGGCATAGACCAACGTTACGTAATGAATTTTCTGCACTTGAATACCTTATAAAACGTTATGCTTTAGTAAATAATGGTGTTAAAAAAGTAAGTTTTGTTATGCTGTCCCAACGTTGCGTCAAAACTTTAGTAATATAAACACAATTTTCTAACGTCCCACTTTCATCCAAGGTAAATGTTTTAAGAGATACCTTACGTTACAATTTCACTTAGTTTGAAAACTAAATGGTGAAAACTTTTTGCTTTAATAAAATGTCAGAATTTCTGCAATGAATTTCTGTGCAAAGAATATTTTTTGTTAACATAGCGTTTTATCTTTAAGGTTTATTTGTTTCGTTTCTAAGAAAGATATGAAAAAAATGTTCTATATGTTACGTTGTACAAAAATGTTCTATTCGTTACGTTGTATAAAAATGTTCAGGCCTTAACGTTTCTTACGTTACATTACACTTCATTGATACTTGCATTTCTATTACCGTCTTTTTCAATCAGATAAAGGTATAAAAGGTAGTATTGGGAATCGAGCATGGCCCTCTTTAAATTGAGGATCACTTGAAATTATCATCATGTATTGGACAAGCTTGAAAGATTTGGGACACTTCACAAAATGGGTTAAAATTTGGCAAGGCAAACCAAATTTGCATGTGGAACAATATTGCGAATTATTTTACCTAATGGTCATTTTTTATTTTTACACAATACAAACTGACCCTTCGGTATACTTTCTTATGAAATTATCATTGATGAAAATGTTACAATGACTAAATTCCTTTAAATGTGCCATAGCAAAGTAAGGCATAAAATAAAATGAACTGAACACACGTCACAAACTCTAATTTTATAATTGCTATATCTTTACAACCAGATGGTGTGAAACTTAAAATTTCAAAGGGACTGAAACTTTGTCACAAACTCAAATTATCCAATTCCTATATATTTGCAACCTGATGCATTATTTATTTTTATTTAAAACTTTAATTAATTTAATCTAACAGAATTCATAGTTTGAAATATCGAAGGTCTACAACATTTGGTATATTAATGATATAAGGATTAGAAAATATGAGTTTTTGACAAAAACTCAATTCCTTTAGACTTTCTAAAGTGAATGTTTGAAATATCAAAAGTCTACAACCTCAGCTTGTAAAGATATTGAGATTTTTTGCTTTTTTATGTTTCTTACAAGGTGAGTAAAAAAGCGGCATTAGCTTTAGTTTTTAAACCACAATAAAAATGTTTTCAGGGTTCCTGCTTTGGGTTAAAAATATCAAAATAAAGTTAGGCAAATGCTAAATATTTTGCCACCACAAACAACGCAAAATAAAATGTTCTGACATTTTTCTTTTTAACAAATCGATTAATAATAAGCTTTTTATTCTAAAGGTTTATAAAAATCTATTGAAGAATAAAACATAACGCGCATTTTACAATTGATAAAACATTTTTGCATTTTAATAAGTTTCTAATATCTATATTCTAGATTTGTCAGCCTAAAACAATTGCGTAGTGTTCACAGACCCGTTCCACTTAATAAGTTTATTTTTTTGCTATTAGTAAATCATTTGCTTTATAAAATTAAATGGAAAAAAGTTTCTTCACGTTATGGTCAAACATGCTTTGGATAATAGAAAAATAACGGTACGTTACCACAAAACGCTAAGGATAGGGGTATGTACTATGTAACTCTATCATTAACGTTTAACGTTAACGTTAGGTATAAGCTCCTATGATGTTAACTTTTAACGTTCTCATTATGTGGAATATATCCAAACGTTTCACATTATTCTAAAGTAACGTACACAAACGAACATTTTACGTAACGTTGACATCTCCACGCCCCCCCCCCCCCACCTTCTCCCATAATTCAGAAAAAATACACAAATAAAAATAAGAAAATTCCACAGATCATTTTTAGTTTTATTGTTTACAATATGCAACAAAGCTACCTCAGCCAGCATATATATCAATAAATAATCATTTACTGAAATGTTGATATAATACATATACTGATACATATTTTAATACTGTATCAGGTACTGAAATATAATATGTAGGCTGATATATATTCTAATACTGTATCAGGTACTGAAATATAATATGTAGGCTGATACATATTTTAATACTGTATCCGGTACTGAAATATAATACGTAGGCTGATATATATTTTAATACTGTATCCGGTACTGAAATATAATACGTAGGCTGATATATATTTTAATACTGTATCCGGCACTGAAATATAATACGTAGGCTGATATATATTTTAATACTGTGTCCGGTACTGAAATATAATACGTAGGCTGATATATATTTTAATACTGTATTCGGCACTGAAATATAAAACGTAGGCTGATATATATTTTAATACTGTATCCGGCACTGAAATATAATACGTAGGCTGATATATATTTTAATACTGTATTCGGCACTGAAATATAACACGTAGGCTGATATATATTTTAATACTGTATCCGGCACTGAAATATAAAGTGGAATATTATTAATAAAGGGATTGCTTACCGGTTGTAAATACTGATAAAATAAGGGTTTCCCAATAAACATGGGAATTTAGAGACGACCTGAATATCGTCTTTGATTTCCGATAAGTGCACCAAAAAAAATATTTAAAGTCTAATGAGTTTTATAAAATGTGATCTTACTTCTTTTTATCTTTAAAAATGACGGAGGTATTAAACATGTAAACAGTTTATTGAGTTTATTTAATAAACTGGAATCTGAGCTGAAAGCTTTAGAATGGTGGATATCGAGATCATTGAAATTGATATCCTCTTTTTCTTAATCTCCAGAGTCCGAATTTAATTAATTCAAACCGTGTCTCGAATCCCCCTAAAACCAGTTTCGATTGAGCGCCGGCTTAAATCTTAAAAAATTGAATACAATTTTTAGTGGAACCAACCATATTTGAACCGCGGCTCTAATTCTTTAAATTCGGCCTCAGATTAAATAAGGCTTGTTCTTCTCTTGTTACTAATCTCCAGATTAATTAATCTGCAAATTATTCAAAATTGAGATCCTGATTGAAAAGAACACCTGGCATTCAAATGTTTTAAAAGGGCTTAATTTATAAACTTTCTGTTTGAGTTCTATTCCATTTAAACAAAGAGTTGAAAAATTGTTAATTTTTTGGTCATTCAAAGAAAGAACCTTATGCCTTGTTTAATCAATATTCAAGCAAAGTTTATTAAGTTTTAAATTATGCATATTTTTATGTTTGAATAACCTTTAAGTCATCTGCATATACAATCAGTATATTTATAAAAATCGTTTACATAAATTAACAACAATTTTCAATTTCAGAATGAATGCAACAAATGGAGAAAATATTTTAACTTGAGAATAAACTAGAAATAACAAAATAAAATTTAGTGCAAATAATGATGACGTGCAGAACCAACTAACAATTTAGTTTTTCGTAGAACCTCCTTTTTCAATTGTAGAATACTAAAATATAAATGGTTGGAGTTGGAATGAATTTAAAAATGCATGAAATAAAATTTTAATTCAGCTCCTACCCGTTTACAAAAATAATATCATTAATCATC